CGTGCAAAGGCCACTCGTAAGATATGAGTGACTACGAAGAAATCCGTGCTGAGCATCACATACTAGGTTCCTTGGCTCCAGGTACGTCAGTAAATGTTCCTTAATAATTCATCATACTCTTTCACATAACTAAGACTAGACTACTGGGATGGTAATTTTCGGACTCATGCGTGGACCATCTCTTGTGGATTTGGAGAATACAGGCAGTTTCCCATTCTTCCGTCAGTATACCTTCTTCTATGAACTTTTGAAATATCAAGGATACCGGCTGCGACAATAATAATAATTAATGATAATTATTTTATTTGATGGCAGTTTACAGGCATTGACAGGAAAACGTTAAACACAAATCCGGCCGGCAGTGAAAAAAACTCCTGTCGAGAAGGAACAAAAATAAAGTTGATGGTGGTTTTTGTGGTTTGGAGGGTTCAGGAGAAAAAATCTGCTTACCGCAAACTGTCGACCGTCAAAAAGGGAGGGGTTGCACGGTATTGGATATTATCATTCGCCAATTCCTTTCATGAAGTTGGGGCTAGTCCAGACAGAAGTGCCGAAGAACAGCTGTCACTGTTGACTAAAGAACTTGTCCCTAGTTAGACCGGCCATAGTGGCCAGAGACCACAAATGCCATCGCTACGGTAGAGTTTATCAGTGGATTCAGCACCCAAAATGTGTGGGAGTTTTCCTGAATGCAAAAATCGCGTAATAGTTCTCTTAAATAAAGGATAATTTTGCAGAGTTTTCACACTCATGGGTAGTTTATTCCAAATAGCAATTGCCTTTACAGAAAAGAACGGACTATATTTAACAGTACGTGTCAGAGGAAGAAATAAAAAAGACTTCACGGTGACTGCTTCGTCGAGGGTGGACATGATGTCTGTTCTAATCTCTTCTTCAGTTGTTTAACTGTTTTCAGATCAGACGGCTGGCCGTGGTGGGAGGGCGAAATGAGAAATATTTCATCAGAAATCTCCTGACTGTCCTTATTGGTCCGTCGCTTTGTTGCACGTTCTGCTGGAGGGGCGGATCCAAGGAAGGGTGGTCGCTCCTAGCCTGTCCGTGTTTTAGCATCCTCAACGGTAGGTCTACTTTTTGCTAATTGGCACATACAGATTCCACTGGCCGAAATCCTCATTTTCGCAACTTCAGCAGAGAAGTAGTTCGACAAACTGCTATTAATTGGTTCCATAGGTCGAAGAACCGGTATGGAGGAAGATCGGAACACAGGTGCAAAATTCATACGGTACGACGTTTTGCTTTTAAGTACTGCCCAAATGTGTTCAGTTTCAAGGAGTCCCCACCGATGGCTTCGCATGTCCACAACTTTCCCTTGCAAAGCACGCGTACGTTGACTGAAAAAGACTGCTATTAACGCACTTCATGTTATTTCCCTCTTTGCAATAACTATAATAACGGTATGTATACATACTATTATAATAATTATTGCAAAGTACATTGTTATTTCAGTGGATGAGGTCTACTTGAGGTATGACGTTCGCAGAAGTAGTAAATTGGCCTACCTATCTTTAGAGTTTGACAACTGAGACATACGACTCACTTTATCCGGCCCTCGTTGACCTATTCAGGGTCTACGTCGGGCCCGTATTTCACTGTGACCAGTGTCGAGCCCGCCCTGGTTGACCGCGTAGACAATTAGCGGCCGTCACTGTCAAGGCGGTTCGTTGAACAGAATAGTAGCAAATTAATTAATTTAGTGGAGGATAACCGAGCTTCTCTGCATTAGCCTTGAGATTGTTGGTCGAGGCGATGATTGCATGTTAGGGTGGGTGTAAAGACGCCTGGATGTCCATCGACAGATCAATCAACAGCCACACCCATTAGCTAGCCCCAATTTGGTTTTATGAATTTTCTTCGGACGAGGCAGTGATAAAGTGGGACCATTGGGGCCGCCAATTATCTCCGCAGTCAACGAGGGGAGGGAAGCCAAACTAGTCACATTTAACTGCAAATCCTGTGTAGCCCCACATGAGGTCAATTAGGGTCATGTACATAGAACTGTGTGCGTGACTTTCCAGTGTCTGTGAACGGACAGACGAATTCACTACGCGGAACGCCAGACCCGCGTCTGGCCTGCCCCGAAGGAAGCCTCCTTATGACACGCCACCTTGGAATTGCATTTCTCCTGCTATTAACATTATTGATTACTTCAATGACAAAAGCCTTACCCATGTTTTACCACAGTTATTTTTTCCGCAAGAATCGCTGATAACCAGTGGAAGCCCTTTCATGTCCATTGGAGAATTGCATTCCTGCCTGTATTTTTCGTATCGATTTCTCATTTGCAAATACTCAATAAACCGTCGTTTCTAACCATTATCTGTCCACTTTCCTATGTCGTGGGATAGAGTGAACGCTAACTGGGTTGTCCGGATGTACACTTACGCTGGGTGTTCATCACTGATTTGCTTTATCCGAGGCTGGCAGGATTCAGTGACACGTAATCTTACTGCGACAGCCGCCAGTTTAGAATGAGTTTACTCGCGAGTAAAAAAAACGGAGGCCATAAAAGCGTGGGGGGAAGAATGGAGAATGGGGGCGCGCCACGCATATTTTTCGGATGGTGTGGCCGAACCTGGCTGTGGTGTCGAAGGCCACGCCTTAGCCACGCCAAATGGCAACGTTTGGCCGCCTCATAGCCACCTCTTGCCGCGGCTGGTGCTGTAAGGGTTGTTAGACACGGTTAAATAGTTAATTGTTTTTTACATAACCCTAAAGTCTGATGACCAGATAGGGAACCAGACCCCAAAATTAATGCATTGAAGGTTATTCTCTTTCCAAAGGATCTTACTTATTTGCAATTAAATTTCTTGGGATGCAAGCTGCCCAGCGATATATTACTGACAACATATTAGTACCATGTTTATTTAAAATTAAGCATTGTGTACATCGTTTTCACAAGGGTTTCAAAGGCATTGCCTATTATCCTTAAAATATATGAACCTAAATATTCGCAGACTCTTTACGTTATTAATATCTGTATAATTATAAATAACTGAATAAGTCAGAGAAGGGGTTTGTCAGACAGAAATTGTGAATTTGTCGGCCCAATTTCTTTAATATCAGCGTCCCTTAATCTTGTCGTATTTGTGTGCTGCATGTGTTTTCATCAGTTTTCCAAAATTGCATCGGCACTACCCATTTTAATTTCTCAGTGTTTCATTGTTATTTCATTTTCAGCTATTGTGCTTCACATAGTTCTCTTTCCTTCACTTCACTGCTCTGCTTTTTCATCCAGTTTGTAGTAGAGCTCTTGTCCCACTGCTTTCTCGTCATTTTTACCCCACCATTAGCTGGGCTTTGTAGACTGTTACATAGAAGTCTACTACACATTTTTGGTGCCATTGCGCAGTAGATTTTAGGAGGTGCATTATAAAAGTTGCTGGATTGCCAGATACATTGTACGTTTTGACCTCCGACTAACCGGCTCGGAAGAACTGATTGAAACCACAGTTCTCCTTCTTAAGCACTATGTTTAAATGCTCCAATACATATTTCTCATTCCTGGTGTGAGAGTGTGTCTGCGGCGGCGCGCGCAATTTCCTGTAATTGGCTCTTCGTCCGCTGCCACTAACCCGTGTGGGCATGGCCTTCCCGGCTTTCATAAAAGATGGCGTGGATTTTTCTGTCAGTGGCGTTGGTGGTGTTCATTGCCTCCAGTATCTTTCACTCCGTCAGAAGTTTCTTGAATCGGTATTCTACTGCATTTTATCACTCTGCGGCATATTTTGGGCCTTACCCAAATTGAACCCGCCCTTTGACTCTCCACTTGTCACCAGAAACCTGCAGACCAGGAACAGTCTTCTTTGTGCACACTGCATTGTTTTTGGAATTGAGGTGGGCTTCAAGTTCGCCACTTCGTCCTTCATATGGATCCTGAACCCGTGTCACCTACTCACCATCATCCAGGCAAGCAGGACCTGATGAATATCTAGCTGCTGCATTTTCCGTTTCGCGCCTATGTTTCTATTTTTACGTGCGTCAATGCGCCTCTGTCTTTGGTTAGATTCAACACTTTGATGTGAGGCTTTCTGTTAATACAATCGTCTACGCTTTGTTTTTTTTCAACCGGCTCAGAAGCTTCTATTTGTGAAATATGCTTTTCGTTTGCGTACAAGAGTTGGACCGCGCCATCATGTTAAGGCACTACATGTTTAACCTTTGTAGCACTTTTGTCACTAGTCTGCAAGTTATTTTACTACATAGATTATCTTCGCGAAGGTGCCCTTTCTTGACCGGGCGTTGCCATTGTAGTATTGCCTCAGACGTCAGATATCACTTTACCAATGCTTTTGTGCTTCTGTATTGCCGTTCCAGACTACACTACTTGTCATTATTTGAATTGACGAAGGGGACTTTCAAATCAACTTTCCGCGGCCGCCCGTTTATTTGGTTTTTATTCCAAGATGTATTCGATGCACACCTTGCCAACTTTAAGTTATGCTGATTTGACTCCGAGTTTGGTGTAATTACCCCTGCAGACATTCAAATGTAGCTGCTTGTTATTCTCTCCGTCAGATATGGTTGCTTCTGGCAGATCCATCTGAGGTTGTCACTGGCGTTTTTCGGATTCATCTTCACATGTTGAACGGTCCACTTCTGGCACTCATTTTCCCTGTTGTAAATACACGGATTGTGAGTCTTCCTTTCATATATTTTTAATGCTTGTTTTTCTAACGTTTGGTGGTATTGTCTTCCACTCTATCATTAGGTAAAGCCTCTAAAGTGAACCTCCCTAAGACCTTGTCCAGTATGTGGCCCAAGACTGAGTAGGTCGATTTTGACACTTTGTCAGAATAATGTCTGTATAGGGCCAAATTTCTGGCGTTGCCATGCCAGCTAACACTGCTCTCCACCAAACCTCAAAGGCGACTAGTTTTGCTTTTCCTCGTCTTCTTGCGGTGGTTGCGGTCAAATTTCTGTCCACTGTAGGTCTTTTTCTTTTACTTTCTGATGCGAAGACTCCAATGGTTTAGATAGTCAACCTCGTCCCCAATGTCTGACTGCGTTCGTCTTGAGTGAGACCTCCGAAATTGGCTCCTAGATGCATACTAAGCGTCAGCAGGAATCTCTGACTACTATTCTATAAATTTTATGCGATGTGTATCAAAGTTCCCTATAACTCGACGCGATTCAGCTGTGATCTCACAGAAAATAACGGATGGTAAACTCCTTTGCATCAAGTTTCTAGTGATCTTTTATCTGTCATCGATGTGCTCGCCAATGTTGCATGTATATTTTAGCTTCCTTTCGAGACTGCTGTGTACTACCTACAGCACCTGCTTATCCTCCTTATTCCAGCTTTGCTAATTGACCAACGATGTGAGTTTCTCGATTTCTCCTTAATAAGGAAAGTTCCATTGTCTGTGCATAGTTAGAATCCCATGCTTGTAAGCAATTTTATAGGACCCGCGTGTTAGACTATGCCTTTGTCGCGACATTTCTGTAGACGAGCTTTTATGCAGTCGTTCCAATTTTAATCTTTTTCACATTCCTCCTAAACGAAATCTCACGCAGCAGGAGTAATCAATGTGTGGTATTCTTTCCCAATCTCGGTCATTTCGATGTAAAATAGGCAAGGAAACGGTCTTTTTGGAGTATTTGAATTGCCATAGATCCTTTAAAACCGATTTTCTGCTTTGATTTTCCGACTTCTGGACTGTTTTATCAAAAATGTGAGTAAATACGAGAGAAAGAACAAATTCATCGTCCATAAACAGGCTCACTTTGTCAAAGCACGAACTAATCCCAAAGCCAAGTATTCTTAAAAGTAGTGTTTTCTGTATTTTTGATGCTTCAAAGCAATGGTTGATTTGAAAAAATATCTCCGGCAATTTTTTCAGTTAGTTTGTGCGCAAATATTTGTTGGAGCCAATTCTGTTGTAAACAGCAAAACATTGGTGCTTTAGGGGATTTCTTATCAGAAAAGAAAGCAGAAATGCCTGACGTTTGTGAAACTAAAATTTGCCCGAGGCTCCCTGAAAAAAAATTTGCTGTGTCCTCTGACACCTTTCCTCCGGATTGCAGATAAGCCCCGAGTCAATCTCTGAGGGCATAGGTTTCCAGCACATCATACCAAGACCTGATGGAAGTCGGGGGTTCTGACAAAGAACTCAATGGCTGGCCAATACAACACTAGCCAGTGTAGCTAGTTCGGAGCGCTCACTGCAAACCAGGCGCTCTAGACCACCGACTGCCGCAAAGAATCATATAACTTTTGCTTGCTCTTTCGGTTCCTTGTCTCTGATGCAGGAACTTCATCCGAGATCTCGGATGAAAAAGATATCTGTCTGGTTGACCCAACATTCCTTCACTTTGTATCAACTCGTCTCAAATGTTCTAACTTCCTCCCTCCCTTGCACTTAATTATACATCTGGGAAAGAAGTCTGTTAAATCTATGAAAGCTGATTTCACTTAACTTGTCAATGCACTAAGCTTCGTAGTCGACTGCAGTATGTGCGTTATTATTCTGAGAGCTTTGACAATGCGGGGTTTCTTCATCGGAGACTGCCAACAGGGACGATCTACCGTAATGCACTCTCGTCTTTTCCATATCCTTCTGCACTGTTTTCGGTTATTTCGCTTTCACGTACCGTCCCGGGACTTCCCTACGTAATTTCTGTATTATAGCTGCATATTCCGTTGAACCACTGCTGGATTTTTCATGGGTTATTTTCGCGCTTAGCCTCCAAGTCCTCTATCACTTTCTCGTGCTACAGCCCATATCGGTGGTGAGTGATTTTTTGAACACCTCCAATGCTGTTTCATATCTGTATTTCTAAATGCCGTTTTCATCAAATCGTTGCTTTCATTGCAGATAACCTTGGTGAATCTGAACAATATGCTTTGTCCGGCTGTTAGCGACCCCTTTGCTGGGCCATACTACCGTGTGATGGCAATGACCCACCAGCCCTTGCTCATCCTAATTCTGGGCAAAGTATTTGCTTGTCTAGTCTTCAAACTAAAAGGGGGTTCGGCCTCCAAACTGGAGTTCAGCTGTCGGCGGACGACTGTTTTGTTAACGCGTGGCACTTCATACGCTGAAGTAGATTTCGTCGGATCGAAATGAGATTCTACCCCTGATTTCTATTTATGTTGCGCATATTATTGTGATTTGGCGAACTCACAATCGCTTATGCCGCTTCCCTAGAGACTATGACCGTCCGACCGCCCCATTGACCGTCTCCCTGACGTATTCCGGTTAATGGTTAAGCGCGGCCCGAGTGCCCGTGTCTGTCGCATACTCTATTCACTGTAGTCTATTCACGTCCTATTAGCTGTCCATTCTGGCGTCGTGCCTAGCCAATGTAGTCGACCTATTCTGCCCCCCTTCACCCCTCAATTTCGAAACATTTTAGAGCCTTGTCTCATTTCGACAGGCTTTTTTCGGGCTTTTGCTCTTTCCATCCCTCCCTATCTACTCACTTTTCCTATTTTCTCTTATAACCTCCGCATTTCTGCCCACATTCCTCTAATTTTTAATTTTCCAAGTGATAATCACTATCCTTCTCAGTGCAAATACGCCTGCCTTCTTCGTGCAGATTTTATGTCTTTCATGATGTCCTTTTTGAGACGAAATATAATTGAGCTTGCCGAGATCCGCTGTTAGACTTTCTATTGGAATGTGTGCATCTGTGTCTGTTTTGCAGTTTGTTTTCATTTTGCGCACAGCTGGCTACTTATTGTACCACAACAATTTTTTCCATCCCACAAACGCACTCTAAAGATTATTAACGTTATCTAGATGCAACTTTTGTCTGAGATGCGCTGATAGTGCTGTCGACTTATTTTTCTAGGTGCCAACTGGAGGGGAGTAGGGTTCGTCATTTGCTTTGCATAAAATATGGAAGTCTGGGTTGCCAAGTGACCCGACGTTGTCGCGGTCTCCTGGCTCCCCTCAGTGCGTGTTTAAAACATTCACAGATTCTGGTACGCTGGGCCTTCACAATCTTCATGTGATTAGCTTCGGCAAAAGCCTAACTGTTATCTCTGCATCCGATCGAAATATTCAGCAAAACCATTTGTGAACTCCACTGTGTGGTAGGGGACAAGCGTTCTGCCTGCACTGTTTAGCAGCTCCCCACCTACATCTAATCATACCTCCAAATCTGTGTAGAACTGCAGTTGACGCCCATCTTGGGAATTACAAAATCCATTCAATAAGCTTGCGAATTCATGCACCGGAAGCCGAGTCAGGGCTTCGTTGTGTGAACTGGTTTCGTACATCTCAGTCCTACGTCTCTCGCAGCCGTACTTTGTTGACTGCATAACACGCATGACCCTTCTATGCCATGTAGCGACAGTGCAATTTGAATAGGGCACCATCCTGAAGCGTTTTCAGCGTATACCTGACTTTTGTTAGTTGTCTCGTTTGTTCCGCGATGTATCAATCCTTCGGGTCCATCTGGGATTTTCAGCCGTTGGGGCAGCTGGACGGACAGACGTGCCGATCATAATATATGTCCGCGTCAAAAATTCAACTTTGCAGTTTGAGATATTACTCTTTCCGGAGGGTTGTGGAGAGCTTTCAGTCTGAAGTAATTAAAAATCTCCCGAACGTAGTGTCAACCGACATTTTCGTCTTTTTGGCCTTTGATCTCTTTTATTGCTTTTAATTTCTCCAACTTGGAAATATTCTTTAGCCATCATGCCACCAACAGTGACATACGGTCCTCAGCTCAAGCTCTCTAGTCCGCCTGGAGATACCATAAGTGACGTGCGCTTTCAGCCAGGCAAGGGTGCTGAATTCTTAATTGCTTCGTCGTGGGATTGTTCTGTCCGTCTCTATGATGTCACCTCGGGTGGCCAACGCACCTCATTTGAGCACAGGACACCCGTCCTGGCCAGCTGCTTCACCGACGCTGTACACACTGTGAGCGGCTCTCTAGAAGGGGACTTCAAGTACTTCGACTGTAACACCTCCCAAGGTAAGAAGTCGTACAATGTGCACTTAAATCAATCTCCAGACTTTAGTATCCAGAAGGAGAGGGGACGAAAAATGCATCTTCTTATTGTTCGAACTGACAGACTGTTATGACCCGGCTTAGTACTTGAAAACACGTGGGAACGTATGCACACTCCATTCTTGTCTTCAATACCATAGCGGCAGAGAAGGAGAACACTACCGGCCACGTAAAAGTGTATTAGAACTGCAAGACAAGACCAACTGCAGGTAACGCGTACTTATAGCACCCTACTGTGGCTCGCCTGCATCGAACGGGATGCAGGACCGGGATTTCACACAGCAAGAATTGTGAAGGGTCGGCTCGCATCCCAACTGCGTGGGAGCTTCATAAAGGTCACACTGAGAAGGATCCGTTGTAGCGTGGCTCTGTCCGGAGAGAATAACCGGGTTATTCCGTCAGTCGGCAGGCTTCCAGGTCGCGGCTTTTAGCGCAGCGTGACACAATCAAGCGCACCACTACACTGTCTGAGTCGGTCAGTCAAGTTATGCGGTGTTCCGGCACAGTGGGCAGTGCGAACAGTGAAGGCGGATGCAGCGAGTGCACGTCGGGGCTCCTGGCACTGGTCCGCGTGTATCGGTGCGACGGATCTGCAAGTGACTGGCCAGCATGATGCGTCAGATGGAGGCGCAGACAGGCCAGGATCGAGTCCAATTTGGTGATGGTGGTAATGGTTTGTTGGATGTTGGGTGTGTTCTCACTAGTGGTAGGTGTTGAAGAGGTGGTAGTTGTCGTCGCGGGATTTTTACAGGGATGAAAGAGGCGATTCCGGTCGACGACGTCGGCTGGGGTGCTGGGACATCAGGATTGGAATCAGTGGTGGCGGTGGTGGTCGTCCCCGTGGTGGTTTTTGCAAGAGTGACGATCTAACGTTTGCAAAAGCCGCATGTGCGGTTGTCGGGTTGTTGTTGAACTGGGTCCTAAGATGTCCGACTAGGCCGATCCGTGCACGAAATGTTCGTTGACAACGTATGTTCGAGGTGGTTGGGTGTTGCCGTTGTGGGTCAAAGACGCTTTAGATTTGCGAGCCGCTCATTTGGCTTTGCCGGCGACGATCCGATTGACTTCGTTTATTTCTGCTCCAGTCTTCACTGAAACTGGCCAGGTCGGTCGGTCTTGGGCGAGGTTCACCTAGGTCACCGGATTGATTTGCAATTCCTTAAGGGAGATACGCAGACTGTCCTGACAGCGTCGTTTTTGCTCGCCTTGTCGGCGAGCATCTGCAGCGATATCGCCGTAGAAGAGTTGCTTGAGTATGCGCGGTGTGTTCCAAGATTTCCGTGTCCGAATTCCTGTCCTGTCACTTTACCTTTATTCTCCGGGGACAGCTGAGGTGTAAGTGACCGAGTTTCCTGACTTGATTGGTGTAGGCGGTCTGTGTCTCCGTCCCGTGTGTTAGCGTTGTCGAGACTACAGTCCTGTACATCTTGAGCAACGTGTTGAGTTGAAGTCCGTGGCGCTTCCAGACGGAGGCCTGCAGCCTGCCAAAGGCATGGCCGGCTTTGGAGGTCCGGCTGGGTCATTAATTTTGGTGCTGTTTGAGAATGGACTGTGTAAATAAGCCAACTTGTCCGCGGTTTTCGCCTGTGTACCGTCGACAGTGACGAGGACGTATTCAGTGTCGGGTGACGGATGATGCATGACAACCGCCTTGTCCGTGTTGATGGTCAGCCCGAAGTTGGCGCAGCCGGAGACGAAGAGATCTATGCTCCGCTGCATGTCTGCTCCTGTCGCGGTGTTGAGCGCGCATTCGCCTGCGAAGAGCCATTCATGAACGCTGGTGGTGGAGAGACCCATTAGGGTCCGTATGCGCCGGGTATTGAGAAACTGGTCGTCGGTCCTGTAGACGGTGCGGATCCCAGAGCGCTCACCGCGGCAGGCGTCCATCAGCATGGCAGAGGACATGAGACCTCAGAGGGTGGGAGCGACTGCGCAGCCCTGCTATACTCCACTGGTCACAGCGAATGCTTCTGAGACTACCATCCCTGACGCGCGCCAACATCCCGTTGTTGAGTTGGCGCACCATGTACGCGAATCGCTCAGTGCAGCCGAATTTCTGCGTGACTTTCCAAAACCCGTTGCGTTTTACCGTGCGAAGGCTTTCGTCAGGTTCACGAAGGCAGTGTAGAGGTGGGCCCACATTTCCTGGCATTCTTGCAGTTGGCGGACGACGAAGATCACGTCAGTAGTTCCGCGGTGTAGTCCGAAGGCACACTGGTTCTCCGAAAGAAGTCCGTGTTTCAGATGGCCGTTAAGACGATTAAGAGGGATACGAGCGAAGATCGTTCCGGCAATGTTGGGCGACGAGGTTCCTATCATTATTACAGTTGCCAGCTCCGTCTCCGCTTGTGGAGATGGGAGATTGTCGTGTCCTTGAAATCCTGAGGGACTTGCCCTCGGCGCCACATCTGGAATATCGTACCAGGTTTGTCCATCAGCCGAGAGCTGTCGTTCCTGTAAACTCTAGCCGCAGTTGTGTCGCATCCCAGTGCTTTCCCGCTGGAGAGCTGGTGCATTGCTCAGATGGTTTCTGGGAGGGGTATCCACGTCATTGTTCGTTTCCACCTGGGAGACCCGGTCGATTGCGGCGTCGGAGATTGTATATGGGCGATTGAGGACGGTTTTGAGGTGCCCGGTCGAGCTCTTGTGGATTTGCGATTTCATCATGAGTTGCACCCTCGGAGCTGGGCGGCGGAACGGTTCCTTTGACTGTGAGACTGTAGACCATCCCGATTGGTGCGAACAAATTTCTGGTTCCACTGCGGCCCACGTACCCTTGGATTCCCTCAGTCATGCAGTCCATCCAGGCGTCTTGCATCGCCCGTAGCCGTTGCCTTGCAAAGCGGCTAAGTCGTTTGCGTGGGCCCAGTGGTCGATACGGATTTTGTGCAACCTGTTCTTTTCGGCAAGTAGGTTGCTGATATCTGCATCGTTGCCGAACCGGTCCTGGTTTTGGTGCTTTGCTTGACCGAGGATGACCAGGGCAGTTAAGCAACGTTCCGCAGTTGACATCACCGTGTCCCCATGGTATCATAAGAGAAGCTATGGGCCGAACCTCTATTTGTGATAACAATGCTAGGGAGTTTTTAAGAAAACCCTGTTCTCTTAGGGACCGCGAAACATTGTCACACTATATTTAAATAAACTACAGTGACGAACCGTACGAACCTAGCCAATGGTTTTTTTCAGACAAAAAGTTAATATATGCGCACTAGATGTCCTTCGGAGCTCAGTGTATGCGAACGATTGATCACAGGTTTTTGTAAGTCAACCAAAAGGCAAGCCTTGCATTCTATTGAGTGCCCAAGACGGACTGATTCGTTTTTTTCATCGGAGGATGAAGCCATACGGGCGCATTAGTTGTTGTCATTTCCGTGGTAGCCTACTTTGACAAAGGCTGTGTGATATTCCGGAATCTTCGTGTTCCCGTAACAACGTAATGAACAATTCTATGCACCGTTAAATCTATTCTCATAAAAGACTGAGGAGGATAGGGAGCTCAGACACCCTTAGTTTATATATCGCTGAACGGCTGGTCCAGATGTCGACCACCCGGATTCGCGCCGACTGGTCTTTTGACGAAACCATAGAGGACACGTCTGTCCGCTGTGCGAACAATCAATACTCATGTATTTCTGCTGCATGTAGCGTACGTTATTCTAATTTTTCGGGTTCCATGTTTTCCGTAATCCGTCATTAATGATGTTTAATTGCTAAGACTATGTTGTATTTTTGAGTTCAGAAGCTATTGGAACTAGTAAAACCGCGCCCTGTGTCGTCAACATGGGCCTCCACCGTGCTTATTCTAAATAAAATTTATCATTCACTCTTGTGAAGAGCGGTTTACTTTTGCGCGGAAGAACTTGGTCTAGTTTGTCATCTTGTTGCGACTGGTTGTTTGGCGGGTTAGGTTGCCTTAAGTATCTCGGAATCGGCGGTGTCTTGTTTCCCTGTATCCAGTCCGTCAACAACGAGAGCCGACCGTAAATACCTCTGCAGATTGTACTAGTGACCGTAAGAATCTACGTCATTCTTTTAAATTTATTTCTTATGCCACGTTCGCGCAGAGATGGATAATTTGAAAACGAAATATTTTTGTAAAAAAATGACCTTGCTAATTGTCTGCGCTCAAAACGGCATCGTGATTAAATCCTGGTGTGCTTCCTTGTCAACCGACCATTAAACTGACTGGCGCAACGTTTGAGTCCGGCCCAGATACTCCTCGGCAAGTCCAAGTACGGTGCTGCTTGTCCTCGGCTATCAGCTCGGATTTTGTAGGTCCAACCTTTGCAATGACGCTTGACATCAACGCCTAACGGCGCTCCATAAAAATCTGAGAAATTCGAGCGGGGCTAACTCTCAACTACAATTTTCTCAGCAACTAATTCTTCCTGTGCGTGCCTACCAAGTGAAAATATATGCAGACTTCAGATCAATGCTGAAATTAACACGTCTTTTCTTTGTTTTCATCCTAGTGACCCTTCTCGGCCGGTGTGCTCGCGCCGTGAGCGCTGCCCTATATAACCCCACTATTCAGGCATCCGTGACGGGTAGCTGGGATCAGACGGTTCGAATATGGGACGCTCGGGCTGCCTCAGGTGACTCTACGAACGACGCCACCGGAGGCGCCGTCTCGGTGCACAAACAACCCGACAGCGTCTACACCATGGACAGTGTTCAACATCAGTTAGTCGTCGGAACTTCTGGGCGCCACGTCCTCATATGGGACCTTCGACAAATGAGCGCCCCCATTGAACAGCAGGAATCCACGCTACGTTACCAGACGCGCTGTATTCGCTGTTTCCCTAATGGTCAGGGATACGTGCTGAGCTCCATTGAGGGTAATTGTGAAGATTCTTATTTTATGATGCCGTTGTTTTTCCGCGCTTTCTTCCTAAACCTTTATATTTCCAGGTCAGATCACCTTTTATGAAAATTCCTAACACCTCTCTTATTTTAACAAGTGGTCTTCAGTCTTGTCGAATATGCCGATACCATCACACCGCTGGATCGGAGTGTACCATCGTCCTTCACTTTGACTGGTCCCATATATCACGTAGGGAGAGTGGACGACAGCCGTTGCGTCTGCCTGTTAGTTCGTTCAGAGTCGAAACAGGAAAAGTTTTCTGCTACCAGTTTAAGGGCTTCGGTCTCCCCGAAAATCAGAGTTGTCTTGCCCCTCTCGCCCACTACTGCTTTCTCGAGAATTCTGGTGGTTTCGACCTATCCGTGGAGCCATGTACTTTGCACATGGTAGCCTTCATAACCACATGTACGGTCACATAAATAGGAAGCGTTCCTGATTGTCGAACGTCTGCATTATCTAATTAATATTCGAGTCTGAAATGCACTCGTATTGATCCGGACGATTACTTCATCTGACCAGCCATATTGCCGACCAGAGAAAATTAAAACAACGATTTGTGTCGCCAGGCGAGCCAATTTGCTGGATAACACTACGAGCTGCGAGTCGTGACCTCCCTATCCAACCGCATTCCTCTTTATCTGTTCATACCCTCACTGTAAGACTTTGTTCAGATCAGCCGACGACCCCAACTTCCTCCGGATTCCTTTTATGCCCTGGGTGATTTTGAGGCAGTGGCGACCTCCTTTGGGCTCTGCTCATGAGTAGCGCGGAGTCGATAGCGGCTCGGCCAAACGATGTTTATTGGCCGGATTTATATCTTTCACCTCTTAGTAAAAATTATGTTTCCCTTTCTCCCCTCCTGCGATTGAGGGAATAAACCGGGGGCGTGCGCCCACATTCAGAATGAACTTCAGCAGGCTTTGCTTCTGAAGTCCAAGCAAGGAGGAGCAAAGATGTGCGTGGCTAAGAGTACACCGGCAACGGTACTTGCAATGCAATGCAATTTTCGAAAGTCACATACTTATTTTTGGGCCATTTTTCTGAGTGCTCACGATCACAAAGGCTTCCTTTACCCGTATTCGTAGTTCCAAAATTATCGCTTAATTAAATTCCGTTTACTGTCTTTTGCCTACGGACTCAAAACTTTGTTTCCAAGGTGAACATGTTTCGACTGGTATTGTGCACTGCGCAGTTCTTGGTACCTTTTTTGCTCGATCGTGATAAGGCAAAGCGTATCTTCTCTTCCCTCCCCCATGGCTTCTTAGGGCGCGTTGCCGTCCGTATGTTCGACAAGAGTCAGGAGACCCAGAAGAAGTCCTACGTCTTCAAGTGTCATCGTGTAAAGGACGATAAGATGGAGACCATATATCCTGTCCTTTCAATCTCTTTCCACCAACGTTATAATACATTCGCTACTGGTAAGGCCTTCCACTTCTCATTCCCATATATACGCGTCTTTTGATTGCTAAAAACCGTAGAGCTAAGTCTATCTCTGTTGTGCAACTTCATAAGCAAGGTAGATTTAAATGGAGCTATGAAAAATTTTCCATACACCGTCAGTTGTTTCGTCTGGAGGCCGCTTCGATGATAAACTATTTAAATTGCGAGCAGACACACCACCCCTCTACTGCGGCTTTGATTGCGATAGTTCTTCTAACCCTGCCGCGTATTTCTGAAGCAGAGTAAATAGGAAGTATACAACCCCTTGTTTCTCCGCTGACGCCTCCTGGGAATGGTTAGTTTCCAAAAATAACGGTGAGCCATAAGTGAAATATGTCCAACTCCCAAATATCAATTTAGAATTCGCAAAAGGCCTACAGTTAGCTTTCAGGTGCCATCGAATATATGTCGAAAATTCAAGCTGAATCTAACGCACGTTGGAGAAACGGTCTTTGATTTTGTTAACTATAACGGGTTTTTCCTCCTCAGTACTTTGCGAAGATATATAAGTTAAATTGTGTCAAGTGACCTTGCAACTTTGTTGGCGGAGCTAAGGACGCAAAGAGGACTGAGCTGTTCAAGCCTAGTGGGCCTGTATAATAAGCCAAGCGGTAACGATAAGTCTTTACTTTAGTCTAGGGCCGTATGCAGTCTTGTCGCTGCCGGCTTCACTCGTGTAAGGCTCCGTAAAATTGGGTATATTTTGGTTTGGCGGTTCACACATGCTGCACAATTGAGTAGGGCCTAACCTTGTTTGATCTTGCATATATTCATCCTCCAAGGCCACTTAGAAGGGCCATGTCCTCAGCCAACTTGCTCCATTGGAGAGCTTGCTACTAACATATGACCTTTCGAGTTGCTATTTACTGTAAAGTTGAGGCGAGACAGAGAAATTTGGTGCCTTGGGCGTACATTACTAGTTTTGAACAATGCAGTCCTCTGTTTGGCTACATCTCCTAGGGTCTGTTTTTAATTACCTCTTCTTCCTCGCTAAGGTGGCTCCGACGGTGTGGTTAATACGTGGGATGGCTTTAACCGCAAATGGTTGGCTCAGTTCGAGAAGTATCCAACCTCAATCTCCAGCCTGGACTTCTCAGAGGACGGGACTCAGTTAGCCATCGCCTCCTCCTACATGTTCGAACGCGGTGACATTCCCAACCCACCCGAACCAGCCATCTTTATACGTACCGTGGCGGACTGTGAAGTGAAGAGGAAACAGGCTGCTCCTGCGACAACCGCCACCACCGTGGCCTCCTCAAAGTAGGCCCGTCCTCTGATCTCCGTGTGCAGTTTTTCACCTCCGGTTGGCTGCGAACCCACGCATGCCACTTTTGTAAAGACACATTGTTGGACACTTAACTCGATTTATACTCGTTTTTAAGGGACTTTTTATCTCTTTTTGCATCGCATGGGACCATGCAAATTGTAAATGCTAATCCGACACTAAATTGCAATTTTACGAGGATAGGTCTGCAGCCAGTTCTCCCTGGTAGATAGCATATAAGGGCGTCGCGTCACCAGTCGCGTAGGGGAACACATGGGCACTCATGACCCCACGAAAGCGCTCAAAATCGTAGTCTGTTAGTATTGGGTTAAGGCCCTTTCTAGACTGTTTCCCATGCGGATCACATCACAGCGTGTGTTGTATTTACTCTTCTGCCCATCACTCTCTGGCTAGTATGTTGCTAGTGCAACCGGCAGGCTTGTCCATTCGGACTTGGTGCCAACTGTAGATTCCCCCATTCCGGACCGTACGTGGCTTTCCTCAGCGCCTGCCTATTGTCTGAACTGGTCGTGGAGGATTACAATTACCAAAACAAATTTCTCTCCGGACGGGTACTGTTCGAGAAAAAAAGGCTGTTAGGGACGTCCACCATTAGGATACGAGCTCTAAATTACGTTTAGCGACAACCGTGGGAACGCCGCCGGGATCTTTGTTTCATTGCTCTCTCTGGGATGGCGGGGGAGGGGCTTCGGACGAAGTTGATTACTAGTGAGGTGGTCGGGGTGTTACACCAAGGAGACGTTCACAGTTAAGTAGTTGGTTGAACGCTCTTTCAAGGGATTTTTGATTCGCGTCCAGAGGACAGCGTCTTCTGTCGCCTACCTAGTCAGGATAACTGTCTCCTTCGCCTCTTGGCACACTGCTGAGCGGGTTATGGAGAACCTCAGCAGCTGGGACAGTGCTCACGGAACTCCTATTTTGCAATAACGAGGGCTTCACCTGTCGTCTGCCATTGTGTCTCGCGCGTGGTTTACGTGGTCGTAGACCTCTTCTCTGCCCTTGCGCTGAGGCTCGCCACAATAGAATGTCAGTGGTAGTCACCCCCATGTTTCATAACGGGGTCGTTTTTCCGTTTTTGGAACCAGATAACTGAAGGAAGGTCTGGTCCGTTTCCTCACATCGCTCGACCCACCAAGTGGTGCAGTCACAAAGCCCATTGGTGAAAGCAGGCGAATTTGCAGACAGCCCCGGCTTACTTGGTGGTGTGTCTAGGCGGCCCTGTCCTGTGTTCACAAAAGGCCATTTTTCCGAGTTCTAACTGTCAAGGTCAAAATTTTAAGATTTGGATGGGAGCTCACCCCTCAAGCAGCATGTCATGACGACCGATTGACCGTTCGCTCGTCCCTTCCCATAAAGAAAGGCCGTTAAGTTGGCCAGTCTACTGCGACGCGTCTTCGCTGTCACGTGGAAGACGTCGCACCTCTTCCTCCACCCACTGCAACCGATCCTTTCAATCACAGCTGTATGTTAGTGCATAGGCAGGATGGTGATTAGTTGAAAACGCATGTTCGTCTCACTTGCGGCGACAAACACAATAATCCCCTTTTCTCATCGTAAAGCTCTGGGAACACACTGGAAACGCCTATCTTTACGTCCTCGCGAACTCTTCTTTAGTGTACACTCCCACCCCAAGCAGGCTGCATCGTTGTTATGCAAGATCAAAGCGGATGTCAAGTTGGCTCATGGCGAGGGCTAGTCTGGCAGCACCGGATCTGCTTGCCGCCTTGCATGTGTGTGGCACGTGCCAGACAGTGACACGCTACGTCAGCCACCGCGTCAGGTGTAACTGCAAATAGACTGACAAGCTATTAGGTCATGGCAGAGGTAGATAACTTGCCTGGCCCTGTGGGTTCACCCTTATAGCGCAGCAGCTTCTCCTTAGCTATAATAAATCTGTGGCGTCTAAACTCCTGATGTGCCAACAGTCGTAGTTTTGAAGGTTCCCAACTGACGCGACAAATCAATCCTCTTCGGGTAAAGGTCAGACCACAACTCCATACTGGTTTTTGTCGTTGCCACTTATACGAGGTCCGATATTCCCCTTTGAAGGCCGATTTATGTGGGGTTAGGCGCCAGCACGCATGTGGAGCGTGCAACTAGCACATCGGGGCTTTCGGCCAATGCGCACGCACCCATCTTCGGTCGTCCTGGCTGCTTTTTGCCGGCGAAACACAACGGACGTGAAATTAAAGAGTGAGATAGATGAGATGCGAAATCGCAATAGGCGAGTTCACACACAAGGCGGCACTGCATCCTCCTTGGTCCAGTCGTCACTTCCGACAGTAGGGCATTCGCATCTGGACTATGCGCGTGTCGTTCTCAGCACCCCTTTGCACGGCCGCCTGACCAAAACAACAGGTACAGGTGAGGAATATTGCCTGTCTGATTCACGCTACAGTGGATTAATAAAGAAGACGTTTAGTTTACGTACATAGCGATGCGGCAGTTGCAAAAGCCCACGATCCCCTCGGGCCGCAAACACCACACCACTCAAGTGATGGAAACGAGGAACGTCAGCACAAATATAGTGTGGTCCATGGAATCGACTGTTTTCCTTCTTCGTCTTCATTTGGGGATGACGCACGGGGTATGGAAATACCCAGTACCATGAAAGCAACCACCCTATTTTCCGCAAACGGAGTACGGTCAACAGTCTGCTTGATCGAGCGAAAACACACTGTCCCGACGAAGAAGGCTACCGAGCCCACCTAAGTTACTTGTGTGAATTCTTCTCTCGGAATGGGTATGCCAATGATTTTGTGCGCCAATGCATGAGACAGAACGAGTAAAAAGAGACGAATCCAAGTAGTTCAAATCAGGTACCGAAGACAAATACATTAAAAACGTGTCTGAACACCGTGTAAGGCACCTAAGGAAACACCAAGTCCTAGTGGCACACAGACCAACGACAACACTGCGTACGCAGATAGTACACCCGAAGGGTAGGGTTGACTATTTGGATAGAAAGGAAGTCGTCTACAAGATCCAGTGTGAGGCCTTTGATGCAGTTTATTGTGGTCAAACAGGAAAATCAGCCTCTAAACGCATTCGCGAACACCAGCTGGCGGTAAAGAGGCGAGACCATCTTTCTCAGTTAGCCATGAATACCCTGGACACGGGGCATACGTTTGCTTGGGACAGAACTCGGATTGTCGATGTCTGCCCTTTCAAAAAAGGCCAAGAGTTCCTCGAGGCCATGCACTCGAGTGACTTATGTATCACTAGGCTTATATAGGCAACCTCGTCCTCCAACAGACCTTTCAGTTTCGCCGTGTACTCGGTCTTGCCCATGACAACCGTCGAGCGTCCCTTGTCGGCGGGCAGAGTGACGACATCCCTCATCTTCCGCATTCTCAGAAGTTCTCGGTCTTCTGCTTCGGAAATCACCCTTTGAGGTTTGTGCTGGAGGAGAAGAGTTGACACTTGTTGCAGCATGGAATTTTTGTACTCCTCGTTGGCTTCGCACTTCTGAGGGGCCGACTCGAAGGATGCCATGAAATCTTCCGGTCGAGCATCTCTTGTGTTGAACTTAGCGTCATAGGATAAAACCTCCAGCTGTTGCCGTGTGAGGTGGCGAGACATGAGGTTGTGAACCAGGACACCGTCAGTAAAGGGCTCCATTTATGGACGTATTCTTTCAAACTTTTCTAGCAATTGGTTGTCGCGCAACCTGCGGTGGCAATTTGCATTGGTGTGTATTCTCGATTCCAGCATTTGCAGATCGTGCGCGGTGACTATCGACCGGCATGCGGAAATATGCTGTTCTATCGCTCGTCGGTAATTACGGATGCGAGAGTGGCAGTCTTGTATCAAGACTCGGATCATCTTCCTCTTGAAATCTGCCATTGTCCGCCGGCAGAGGTCGGTCATCACTGGCAGGCTATATAGGAGACATTTCGGCAAGACGTTCTCCTCGAGGCAACGGTGCAGGAACTTCAGCTGTGCGTAGATGGATGACTCACGTTTGGCAAAACTCTCCCATCCCCGTGCTAAGCTGAGGGCTGTGCGTCCATAGGATAAATCAACATGCGTGAAGACTCGAGGTCCAGATAGATTATCCCGTTCATCATCCCCAAAAGAAGACGAAGAAGAAAAAGAGGCGACGCCATGGACCACACTGTATTGGTGCTGACGTTTCGGAAACTTCCTCGTTTCTATCATCAGAGCAGTGGTAGGGTGTTTGTTCCTGCTAGCTCAGAGTTGTTCTGTCTCGTCGCCCGTCTCGTCTTATAGGCATGCCCGATACACGAACTCTGACCTGCTTGCTGGTGGGGGGGTTGGCTTAGGTCTCTCCGTGGCCGACCGCTGGGGCGCAGGTGTGACCTCTGCCCCCTGCCCGGCTGCTGTTGTCGCTGCTAGGGCCGTGTGCCCTTGGGCCCTCCCCCCTTAATTTGACGGGCTGATCAGCTGCCGTTGCATGTGGGAATCGTGGTCGGCTGTTTGGGCGCGTCGGTGAGTCGATGTCTCGCGTCGGTCGTCTGACACTCGGCTGGCTCTCTCCCCCCTGCTGTGAAGGTGGCAACTGTTGAGAGCGCCGCGATTTGTTCGCCAGTGCTATCGGCCCCGTCCGAACTGACTGGAGTTTCGTACGAAGTGCCTGATATGCCGGATGAAGATCAATGGCTCTGTTGATTGTGTCAACTGAGGACCAACTTTCGAGAACCAGTCTGGCCATCTTGTCGATGGCTCTGCCGACGACGCTTGCCCCCCCCCCCAAAGTCGAAACTGTACTTCTCTTGTTGCATGTGGCCATATACCAGTGACAGCTTATCCTCGCGGTTGACTGCAAGTTGGTGCTCGTGCAATCTTGTGCAGAGGCATTTGCCCGTTTCACCAACATACCTCGCACTGCAATTTTGGCAAGGTATGTTGTAGACCACTGCTGATTGTTCTGTTGCTGGTAGCTGGTCTTTGGGTCTCATTATCTACTGCCTGATAGTGGATTCCGGTTTATGGGCCACCCCAATCCCAAAAGGGCTCCGGATTCTTGCTTTCGCCTCAGATCAGAACTACGTTATGCCGAAAGGCAACGAATAATAGACGCATCCTCCAATTCCGGAGTAACCACCCCATTGGTCACAAACGCTGTTGTGTCAGAACTCTTTCCCAAAGAGTTCAAACACAATGTAGTGACGATGACGGGAGAATGGAGGAAGAGAAATACCTACATTCCCTACGTTGATATAAATACATATATAGATATATATAATGGTAGGGGCGCTCACCGACCGTTCATACAGAACTCACTCGTTCCGTGGTGCCTTAAGGGCTCTCTCTCGAGCCCAACCAGCAGCCGCACAGCGGCGCATGATACATAGGCAGAATGGCTGGCTGACGACGGCTAATAAGCCAGAAATGGCCATTCCAGTCTCCCTTGTCTTTGTCGGTAATGCCATAGATATATATATATATATATATATATATATATATATATATTTCGAAGAAGAATGAGTCCTTTGGGAAAATGAGCAAACTTTATTTCGTAAATGTTCGAGTCTGGTTCCCCAGCTCGTCTTCACACGTGTAGTAAGTGTGTAGAAACAGTCAACATTTAAACGATACCCAAAAATGAGGCTCAACCGCAATTTTAAACAAAGCAGACTACAATAACAAGATGCTATCGTTGGTAGAAGATAGGTCAACTTATATGCCCCTCACCATTGACCCTACCAATGCACAAATTTCATCTATTGATAAAGTGCTGAAACGTCTTGCAGGAAACAAACAACTACCGGGAGAAATCGCGAAATCCCTGAGGCAAACTGAACCAACAATCGCTAAAATCTATGGACTACCGAAAGTCCACAAACCCGACTTACCATTGCGACCGATAGTATTACTAATCGGTGCACCGAATTACAAGATCTCTAAATGGCTATTCCATAAACTCCATCCCTTAACAAAGGATTGTGAGACTTCAATCGAGAATGCAGTTGAATTCCTAGACAAGAGGACTCACTATTGAATCAGATGAGATAATGGTGTCGTTCGATGTCATCTCTCTATTCACGTCCATACCACTCGATTTGGCAAGGCAGTGCACAGAAGAACTCTTACAATCCTACGACGTGGATGTTCCTGCATCTGCTTTGCTTGAACTCTCGGACCTATGTCAGGAAACGAACTTCTCGTTCGCACATGAATATTATCGACAGCTGAAAGGAGCTCCTGTAACAGCCAGACATCATGACGGGTCTGGCGTCGTTGTTCCAGACCTCGCTGCCTCAAGGTCATTCATCCCTTGCAGCGAGCCGTCCCAGACGAGGTGACCTGAAGTCACACAACCAACAGCTCGGGCATACCTGCGTCCGCGCAGTCGCAGCTGCCCATGCAGCCACTTGAACGCGCCACCCCCTGCAACCAGCGGAACAAGCCACTGGGACACCACCCCTCGGCAAAGGCAACACACGCTGACTGGCCACCACTTGAACTTGGCCACGAGCCTACAAAAGCGGCTGTCACCACTGTCTCAGGGACTCTCAGGCCTGACTGGACGCAGTCAACGCCAGCCCTGGCTTCGTCAGTGGCCACTGTCGCCTGAGAGGACAACCCCGGGTTCTGTGCACAATAAACCCCTTATTCTGGTCCCCTTTGTCTTCTCCCTTCAAACATGGAATTTGGCCTGACGATTGTAGCTCACATCTAGCACATATTCACTCTACAGTGCTGCTATACTCCTATGGAGTCACCTATTTCTGGCTTTCTGACTGAGGTCACAATGCAACAGTTAGAGGCTATGGCCTTACCATTATTAAATCCCAAATTGTGGGTACGCTACGTAGATGACACCTTTGTCATTGTCAAGAGAGATCAGCTAGAAACGCTGCATAACGCTATCAATTCAACACTACCGGGAATTACCTTCACGCTCGAAATAGAAGTTAACAGCAAACTCCCATTTCTTGATGTCCTCGTACAGCAAAAAACTGACGGGACATTCCAGACATCAGTATATCGCAAAGAAACTTACGCGGAAGTTGTACTCAATTACGAGAGCAACCACCCTATGGCTCACACACGGAGTGCTGTTAACACCCTACTTAATCGAGCAAAGACACATTGCTCTGAGAATGAAGGGTACAAAGAACTCAATTATCTGTTCAAACTATTTTCCAAAAACGGCTACCCTAGAGATTTGGTACGCCGATGCATGAAACAGGAGGAATCAAAACAAAAAATAGAGAAGGAACTAGATTGTTCCTGTCAGGCGCCAAAACCAAAACACTGGCGAACGCTTCCCTACATTAAAAATGTGTCTGAACTAGTTGAAAGACACCTGAGGAAGCACCAAATACAAGTGGCTCACAAACCGACTACCACGCTACGCAATCAGCTTGTACACCCTAAGGATAGGGTTGGCTATTTGGATAAAAAAGAAGTAGTCTATAAGATTCCATGTGGAACTTGTAATGCAGTGTATTGTGGTCAAACCGGAAAATCCGCCTCTACACGCCTACATGAACACCAATTGGCAGTGGAGAGGCGGGACCACTTATCCCAAGTCGCCATGCATACTCCTGAAACTGGGCACAAATTCGCTTGGAATAAAACACGCATTGTCGGTTCCTGCCCATATACGAAAGGCCGAGAATTCCTAGAGTTCATTCACTCTGATGATTCATGCATCAATCGACGCATCGATCTTGATACCATGTACACAAATCTCAAAGAAAAATGGAAAAGATAATAACCAATCAAGACGTGACATCAGCCCACAGCATTAACCCATCCTCAGCAATGACAGAGCCATATCGATTTTTTGGGTATTGTTTAAATTATGACTGTTTCTTCACTCTTACTACACGTCTGAAGACGAGCTGGGGAACCAGACTCGAAAATTTACGAAATTAAGTTTGTTCATTTTCCCAAAGGACTGATTCTTCTTTGAATTATGTTTCTTGGGATGCCCATCTTCCAGTACATATATATATATATATATATATATGGAAGAAGGTAAAGAGATCTCTGGGGAGGATGATTTATTCATCTGACGTTTCACACTCATTCTTGAGCGCATCATCGGAGATAGATTAAAAGTGGGAATACAAGGTTTAAATAGGTCTTTCTTACTCAGTACTGATAGGTCCATTGTCCTCTCTTCCCATTGGTCCTCCCTTCCAGCTCAAGTGGTGTCTGACGGCCTCATATGGCGCCGGTAGATCGATCCTACGGTTGATCGAGTTGGCGTTGGATTGCCAGGCTTCGATTATCTCTCTCGCCATTTTGCTTTCAGCTCGGCCGATTACTTCTGCCTTGTCGAAG